ATTTTCTTTTTGTCCACTGTGCTTAAACCAAAGTTTATTCTGTATGGGGATCAATCATGAGAAATTTCAATGCATTTTTTTGAGAAAATCTTCTATAATAAACAGGTGTTTCAAGGTCAAATGAAAATAAGTTTCAGTGCATAGGCTTCTCTTTCTTAATCTAATGGCAGTTTGGGGCAGATACTAGAAGGCAACATTTAGATATGAGAAGGAACATTTCCTGACCATTGGGGGCGTTCTCTTCATTGCTGCGCATCTTGTCTTCTGGGTTCATTTTCTGTTATTCACTTGACATCTGTATGCATCTGATTTTCCTATGTCTAAAAAACAAGTAATACATTCTCATTGTTGTGAAGTGCGTTGAGAGCTGTACATGAACAAGATATCCACTTCCTGTGTGTAACAATAAGATTTCTCTTTTTTTTTTTTTATTTTTCTCTCCTAACAGTACTCTTAAGGACAGTATTACTAGAACCAGACCACCACATGGAACACTTGGTTGCTGCTTCAGAGTTTATTAAGTAAATGTTCTGAGGTGTATGTTGTTCTGGAAAAAGTGCCACATCAGTCATATCAAGCAATTAGGCCAATTAATTGGACTGAAAATTTCAACTTAGGTTTCTTTGGAAGTATGTGAGGAAGAAATATATCAAAATATATCAGACTGATTTAGGGCTACATACAGATTTGACATGAAATACACTTGTGTACTTAAAACAAATGAGCTCTATTTTTAAGACAAGCTCTAATGAAACTTATTCTATGCTCCAGAATAAAATAATCTAAACTTTTTTTGATTGAATCTATTTTCTGGTTTTGATTTAGATAAATAACTGATAAAATGACTAGTAAGTAGATTAAACTAAACAGGAACAAGGCACTTTTATGTTGTAATGAAGTATAGCCACATACACTTATTCAAGGACAGCTATTACATTTTAAATTCGTAACCTATTTTACCGAAATTAACGCTCAAGCTAAGAAAACTGCCTGGAAATGAGGCAAAATACTTTTGGTATTATAAGCTGTTTGCCCTGAACTTGAAATGAGCCTGAAACGGTTACACACAAATTCATTTGCATTTTAGATGAAGGGTTGTGTTGATTCTTATGTTTGCTGGATAGGTTTCCCCAGGCCTAGTTACTAATGGACACGGCGCCAAAAACAGTAAAACCAGCAGAAGCCCCTGAAGTACCAATAAGCTTTTAATGTTCATTCCTGATGACGCTGATTGGCACAAAGGGGAAATGAATAAAGCTAGCGTATAGTCAAGGGGAACCACATCTATTACCTTTTATTATTATTCCTCCCTTTACTCCTAAGCCTCCTCTCTGACCCTTAACAAACTCACACCACTTCTGATGCAAGAGCTTTTTCCTGTATAATGCTTGTCGTCTAGGAGAGACTTGCTATATTTGTCTGCCTCATTGACTCTCTTTTTTTAAAAACTCATGGAGAAAAAGATTAGATTTTTTTCCTCTAAACACTTTAATTCCTCTCTCTTGTCCATTTTATTGTCTCTTTAGATAAAAGGCTCTGTATAAAATGAAAATATACTCTATTGGTAAGCAAAGCATGACAAACGAGTAACGCAAGATAACAGAGCGCTCCCAAATCATTTTCTCTGCTTATTTTTCTTTGACAGTATTCCTAATAGGAATTTCAATGGAAAATACTCGTTCGCTTCCTGAAGTTTCCAGATGGTAGCTCAGATTTCAATGTAGTAGTGGATTCACATGTTTTCCTTAGGGCAATAAGGGAACAGAGGAGGGGAATGTGGTAATATGTGAAACATTAAAAATTTTGTTTCCTCTTTCTTTATTTGTGTATGTATGTATCAGAATTCTTTCTATCTATTAGGATTTCATTTGATTTTAATTAGGATTTAAAGAAGCCTCTGATGACCGAATAATAATAATAAAAAAGGCTTATACAGTGTCTGTCAAAAGGCTAAGTTCTGAAGGAATTAACTCGTTCAGCTGTTACTTCCCTACAACTAAGAATAAGCTCAGCCCCTAAATTAGACAGAAAGTTGAGAATTTTTCTGTTTTAGACCTGATTCTTTTATATCTGCTTTTGACTATCTTTCTCTTACAGGGCATTGAAAGTGAGCATGCAGTTGAATTAATTTCTAGTGAAGTGTATTGACAGGGTTATGTCTGGTTGTAACAACAATTTACAGGGTGATTAGCAGCTGTATGCTAATTATTCAGGAAGCCCTTGATTTCCTGAAAGCACTAATTCTCCATTCAGATTGTGTAGTGTCTTTGTTTCATCTCTGGTAAGGAGGTTTTCTGCATACAGATACATTCTGTACACACCTAATATTACGGAAAAGCTTCTCCAGCAAATTCGCCACGTCCTGTTGAACAGCCTTCTTTAAGTATCAGTCAGGAATGAGTAACTCTAGCCTAATTACCATCAGTTCTTGTTTTTAAAAAAATTGCTTTTCACAGAATATTATACAAAACTATATAATACTTATATTTAAAGTAAAATGTCATGATTTAGCACATATAGATGTGTGTATAGCATAAAGCATGTGCATGCACACGCAAGTTAGGCACACTTTGGGGGAAGCACCTTTGGAAATACCATTCCTGATTGTATTTCAGAATAGCACTGCATTTCAGTGTTCATGCAAAATAAGTGAATATTGCCTCATGTTGCCTATCTTGCTACAGGCCAACGTTTAAACCACATTCAGATCCGGAATGCTCTTCAGAATTGATTGTAAGATGAAAAAATAGTTTACAAATGAACACAAGTTAATTCTGCTGCAATGAATTAGCTTAGAGCATTTAAGGTGTAGGAGGTTTCTTGGGTCAGTTATAAAATGTTTAATCTGGATAGTCCCACAGAAAGTTCTGTGAATGAGGGTAGCATCCTTACTGCTTTTGGGTTGGAATTTGAATTCAGGTTTTGAATGCAACAGGCCTACTGCAGTCAAGGGGTTATGTACAGGCAAAAGAGCCCACTTGTACGTGACTACATGAAGAACTCATGAGCCACAGCGGAAAGGAAATTCAAGGCATTATTCACTTATTTTGCAATTTTTGGTCTTCACACTAAGAAAAGAAGCAAAACAATGCCTTATCATTTCTCACCTGTCATTACAGCCCACAAGCAACCTATAGTCACAAGAAAGAGCAAAAAAGTTAATCTGAAATTTGTTTATTTAAAGTATGCATTGAACAGTGCATTCTCCTTTGGTAGTGAATGTGCTTTTTCAGAAACAATAAGACAAATAAAAGGCTATGTTAGTTGTGTTACTTGTTGGAAAAGAATATACTAGAGAAATAATGTGGTAGGTAGGGTAATAATATTTGGGCTTAGGCATGCAATGGCCAGACTGTAACTGCCCCTTATTAGTAATCAGTAAGTACTGGGAACAGTACTAGATCTTTATGGCACGTGTGTGGATTTTTCATATGTGTTAGAGTATAAGGCACCTGGATATTACCAGTGGAACTGGGCTTCTCTGAAAAATTAGTTCATAGATCTATTAGTTTCATCGCAGTGTGATAGCTAACATCAATAAAGATGGCCATGCCTTTTCCGTCTCCAGCAAAGTCTAACAGGACTTTTTTCCCAGTGCCTCTTTGGCTGTGACTCCAGGAACTAAGAGAAAGTGTATGTATTTTAATATGGTGGTTTTTCACTGCTGATAGTTAAAAACTAAGAAATGTGAAGAATTGACTTTGGAGCTGTTGTTTATTGATGGTTCGTGACTCTCGCTTCCCTCTACAAGAGACAATCTCCAAGTAATTTTGGACCAATTTTCAGGGTCCTGTTAAGAGCTATGATTGTGGGAGTCTGTGATCTCATCCTTAGCCTCAGAAAGGGGGAAGAAGGAAAAGCTGGCAGGGATTAGCTCTGGTAAGCCTTGTATATTACTGACTATCACCACTGAGAAGCAGTTGTCATCTGCAACAGATGAGATAATCGTAGCAAGCACCATGTTGCAGGGTGCTAATTGACAAAATAAACAACAGGATATATCCATCGAGCAGTATTTGTGGGTAAATGGGAACTAATTAAATTGGCAATAAAACATAAGGCCCGTAAAACAATATGTTCTTTTTATGCTTGGTGTAGCTGGTACTCTCAGAGTCACTATCTTTCATACATGTTACTTCAAACACGGAATACGAAGAATGTGGTAATATAAGATACTAATCACTGAGTAGCGCACAAGTACCTGAGAAAGACTCTCAGCTGCACTTCAGTTGGCCTGGCCATCTACTAGTGTCAGATTACTTTAATATCACTTTACTAATATGTAACATTAAGCAGGCAATGTCTGCTTCAGATATTGTTAAGGTATATTCTGAATGAACCAGAAATTATCCTTCATCTGATACTTATCAAATGCAGGTGGGTAATCACACGCCTGGTGTACATCTTCAGAAACAGAAAGATCACTTGTATTTAATGCTTGTAAGAGAAAAAAGTGGTGACAAATTATTTAAACCATCCTAATTACATTTGAAACCACTTTTATTTAATGAGATGAAGAAAAATATATTTTAAGGAATTAATGGTCTCGAAGGGAATCCAGGTCAAACTGATATTTGCAGTCTTGTATATGTGAAACACTTCCAGAAAAAATGCCAAGTGGGTGCTACAGTCATGTAAGAAGTCACAATTACAGTTAATATAGAGAAGAAATGGTTGATTGATTGAATTATCAACAAATGGGAAGTGCTGCAGAGGGCAAGAGAGAAAACGAAGCTTCCCAGAAATAGCTTCCGGTAGGGATACTTAGAGGGATGCTATTTTGTGCCTGCCAAAGGAAAATTTTCTCCAGAACCTGAATTTTTCAGCCCTTAGGCTAACTCCTGCAACCTGGCAGGTGTCAGAGCTGCAGACTTCCAAAGCTAGTTAAGGATAAGACTGTGAAACTTAGAATCTGACTACTCTTGCTATCCTGCTCGGGCTTTTTTGTTTGTTTTTGGTATTTAAAGAATTAATATTTCTCCTTATGCATTTGGTTGCAGGTGCCAAATGGGTACTGAAATACCGGTGATATTGCTCAATATTTCACAGAATCACAGAACAATTAAGGCTAGGAGGGACCTCAGGAGGTGTCTTATTCAGCCCCCTGCTCACAGGTAGGTCAGCTCTGAGGTCAGATGAGGTTGCTCAGGGCTTTTTCCAATCACGTCTTGAATACTTCCATGGATAGAGACATGCCCGTCCATCCCTAGCCTGTATCATTTTGGGGCTCCTCCTACCCAGGGCAGTACAAGTCTTGGGAGTAGAAGTAAATGACTGCTCTCCCCTCATCCCTGTTCTCTCATTAGATGAGTATAATTTAGAGCTAAGTGCATGGTACAATTTTTTAGACTTTTGAATTCAAATTTCCCTCAAATGTATCTAGTAGTTTTAAGTACTCTATTTCCATTGGATTTCCACCAATGACATGAAGGAACTCTACTAAAATATTGGTGAGTACTTCATGAAACATACATGCGGCTCAGTCTTTTTTTATGAGCTGGAGGGATATAGTGGTGAGATGCATATGGGGAAATTGCGAGGCGAGGTGAATGAAATATATTTGTTTTTGGTGTTACCCTTTAATGTCTACTTCTCTGCCACAGCAGAAATAATAACATATTTCCCAGTATTTTATAATTTTACTCCTACTTACCTTCTGCTCAACAGTAAAAGGAAGAACAATTATGTAAATAAACAAAGGAAAAGCTAACAGAAATTTCATTTCTAGACTGTTACTGAGCTCCTTCAAACTTTTTACCTGAAACATCTAGGAACTTAATAGCCTCTAGACCAGTGCAAACATCAGTATCCTTTTCTCTATAATACAGAGTTTATCAAATCGCTCTATGCAGAATTTTTGATGATCATAAATAAGAAGTTTATATGATTCTCTATTGAAACATCATCAACAATGACACATGTATTGTTCTCTTATGCAGAAGTGGGATACTTTTCCCTAATTTACAATGCTGCTGTTTATTTAAATTGCTAGATCCAGCCACAGGTCAGGTTTGATGGTTAGAACGGTAGAACTCTGCTACTGGAAGGTGTGAACTACTCTGGTTTTTATATGTAACTACATATGTAGTTACTACTATATGTAACGTACAAACAGATTTTCAATAACATTTAACACCTTCAAGTTTTTTATATGTAACTGTACGTACAGCCATATTTTCAATAACATTTAACACCTTCAAGTAGAGACTTACCACTAAGATTTTCAAAAACACTGCAAGGCTGGATAGCTACTTGTCATGAAATCAATGAGTGGCACCTACTCTCTACTGGTATTTTTGCCTTCACCTTTTAAATACCTAAATATCTTTGAAAATATGACTTCTACTTTTTAATCTCCTTAGTAAGATAAATTTGGCTGAGAGCTGGGGTAACAAAGTAAAATTTTATGGCCTGTAATATTACAGAGGTCAGGCTAGATGGTCATTCTGGCTTTAAAAATCTATCGGTTCCTGAATGAGTAAGCTGAAGTAACGCATGGTCTCTGGTATCAGGCTTTCCTCTTTATTCACACATTTCCTCTGTGTCCCTCATGAAAGGACATGTTTCCTTTCGGTAGAATGTATAAATCATATGACAAGAGCCATCAGTGATGATGAAGACCCACTTAATCATTTAGTCACTTGCTGCCAGATGGAATATAGTTCAAAAATAGATCATATTTCAGATATCTAATAGCTGAACAACACCACCCTTATTCTTAGCCCAAGGGTCTATAACTTTTAGTAAGTAATTTCTAGCTTCTACCACAACCTATTTTAGTCATCAATATTATTCTTGCCCTGGAGGGATGCCCTCCAAACCTCCTTCACTTGGCAGTCTTGGTCATAACAATTCCCATCCCGTCTGAGCAGCCCATTTAAACAGAGAAGTTACCTCAGTTCAGGAGGTAACTAGAGGATTATTACAGCAGTTACTTGTTTTTTTTATCTCCAGTGCCTCCTGGACTTTTAGCTCCTCAATTAATAATCTTTTCATTACAGAGGTTACACTTGGATAAAAAACAAAGATGCCACTCTAATGCAAATAATTAGTTCACACTGTGCTTTTACATTTAGTTGTTACATTCTGTGACTACACAATTTTTCTGAGCAGTGTATCCTCATGAACCATCAATGTTGAAGGGGATGAAAAAATGAGTACAGGAAAAAACCTTATGAAAAATTGGCCACTGCAAAACATTCCTCAAGTCTACTAAAATAGAGAGTAGAAGTTCAGAAAGGCCAGACAAACCTAGAAACAATCCAATGTCTTCATAAATAATTTTCTAAGAAGTAATAGAAATACATGGCAAAGTAAGCATAATGAAGATAATTTTGAATTTATTTGCAGGATAGCATTACTAGCCCAATTCTTTCAAAAGCATAGTGAGAGGAAGGGTCTTTCATTCAAGTGTAAAGAAGAAATATTTAAGTAGAAGTCTTCTTCCTCTGGCAAGAACTTGGGGGATGGGATTCTTGAGTATAAGAAGTTTATTTGATTGTAGGAAGAGCATCATCCACCCACATAGTGTCCACGAAGTGCAGCTATTTTGTATATGTACATATACATTGTACACACATATGTATATGTATAAATATATGTACATAAAATTTATTCTATTATTGGAAAATGTGTGAATATTCATTATCAAAAAAAAAAAAGAAAGTTAAAGAGGCTACATTAGCCTGAGCTGCCTTCTTTCATCCTGACTGACCTCTGCAGGGACACCCAAACTGAGCAGAGGACAACTGGGGCACAAGTGGTCCAGTCTACCTTAGGAAAATGGATCCGCTCTCCTTGGCAGGCAGACATCCCAGAGCTGTCTCACAAACAGCGAAGACTTGCAGGGTCTGTGGGCCCAAGGCAAATCAGCTAGGAAAACTGTTTCACCCTCATGGACTTGGGAACTTGAGGATGGACCATTCCCCTTTGCAACAGTACCGGAGGAGACCTCTGGAAACCCCAACAGAGGCTTTGGTCGTACTACTGCAGGCTCAGTGAACATTTTTAACTAATATTATTCACAACCATTTTATCTTGGAGTGTTCTTTTCCTTCAATCAGAGTTTGAAACAGCATGAACTTATGGTCAAGCTGCAAAGCTATTCAAAATTATTCATTTCTAAAGGTATACTTGGGAGATTTAGGCATTCCATGATCCCGTTAAGATGTGTATTTTCCTTTAAAATGAAATGTAAAAGAAAGCAATGATTAAAAACACTGTAATAGAAATTTGATGTTGTTTAGGGATATGCAGCTCATTTTTCTTCCAGAAAAAAGCATCAGTTCAGGGAGATGGTGAGGTCTCAGGCAACCAGATATCAGGAAAAATCCCCTGTTTAGTGCTCAGAGGAGCCCCAAGACATACTTCAGGATTGAAGGCAAGACAGAGAGAGGTATATTTCATAATCTTTCATAGAAACTGATTTTACGTAAGTTCTTATGCAAATATGAGGATACTCATAATAATATTACTGTTTGGCAGAAAATTAGTGATGACACTGATCAACCGCCAGGCTTTACTGGTTGTCTTGTTAATGCTCCCAAATGTATTTAAAAATACACATTCCTCCAGACTGTAGGAAAAGCAGCAATCCATAGGTAAGAAGCAGCTAAAAAATAGCTCCTATGCATAGCAGGCAACAGCTTCTCCACTGATTCAGTGCAAACATGGCTATATTTTTACGATTTTTTAAGGAATTAGTCTTTGTGTTAACGTTCAGCAGCAGTGATTGTAGATGTCATGTCTCATTCTCTCAGCTCTTATTGATTTATATTTTAAAATGTTTGGACAGAAAGCAATAAATCATGTTTTCTGTCTTATTGAAGCATAAATGGACCTGTATGTACCTATTTGTACAAAAATGTACCTATTTTACTGTATGACCCATAACCCAAAGGATTAAGTTATCCTCTTCATGTAACCCAAAATAATATTATGCCCCTTCCCAAGCAAACGAAATAAGGAAAAAAAGCAATTATCTAACACAAAGAGAAATAAAATAGCAAAAAACCCTTTTTCTTCTACCTAATTTAGACTGTTCACATCTGGCTCAATTCCTCTTCCCTTCTTTATTAACTAAATTAAACCTCTTGTTGGTTACTCTTGGTCAAATTTTACAGCCTCTCACTTTTGCCTATTTAATTTATGTAAGACTAGGAGAGAACTGATGGATACCGTTCTGTTCTAAAGACCTGAATTCAGCTATGCTGCATAAAAACAGTGTGTTAATAGGTGTAAAATAATTAGCAGAGGTATTAGTAAGGTTTCTTTTCATTTGTAGTAGTCTTTCTTGTTTTTTCAAACAGGAAAACAAATAGGGCCAATCTGCTGCAGTTTTTGACATGCAAATGTATCCACATGAATTTCAAGGAACAGCTTGGGGATTTGGAAGGAAGGACAGGGATGGTGGGTGCCCCACCTTCTAATGAAATGTCTGAAACCAACCGTGGCTTTAGGTACTCATATTTTTTGAAAAAAAATGGGTCCATGTAGACAAGAACCTCTAAGCAAGGAATAAGTAGAGAAAAAAACAAGTAAAACTGCTGCCAAACCACTTTAAGGAAAGAGAAGACCTGAAGAGAATATTTTTGAGACTCCTGCTTGTGAGTTATGTTTACTTGGCTTTTCAGAAGAGTGCTCGGAGTACCCTAATAAACAAAAGCAAAACAGAGAGAAAAGAAATGGCTTTTCCCTTTCCAGAGACTATTAAAAAAAATAAGGCAGGCAAGCAGCCAAGAATATGTGTTTGTTTAACCTAAAACAAATTTCCCTGAGGGTGTTGTCTGACCTCTTGTTATTACTGGGGCTGGAATGAAATCTGGAAACGCCTTGTCCCCTGGCAGAAATAGGAGGAAACGCTCCCTGTGCTGGATGTGGTTTAGCTGTTACAGAGCTACTGTGCAATTGTGGTGGACTTTCATAGCTAAAACTAATGTGATAGTTCATCTTAGCTCAAAGTAATCATGATAGTTTGGCTCTTATCTTCTCACAGATTCGCCTTCATCTTTACTATGGAGCTGACCTCTCCTCAGTCAGTGACCAGCAATATAATATAAAGACATAAAAAATAAAATGGAAACACCCTGAAATTGGTCC